TTACGCAAATTATGCTCGTTTATACCACCAAACCCTTTTGATTTGAATCCGAATCACAACTGAGACTTCAATTAAGATGAAGAGGTCACGCTGCAAGTTCCAATGACCATATAAAGTGGGCCGCGTCAAACAAACCCAATAAAATTTAATGTTCTTGACATTTTACATCGCTCTCATTTCTATTACTACAGCTATTAAATTCTTATGACTCACAGGGCTATTGTTCAGTGTTGAAGGGCATTACTGTCGTGAACCGGTTAATAGGGGTGATCAAAATTAATGCAGTGAACGCAGTAATGTTTACCGGCAGTAATAAACATGTTAAAACGTTATGGAGTGACATTGTTTCAGTATAAGTGTAGTCGTGAAGACGCATCTTCGAAGACACGCGCTTCGATTGGTTTATAAGGTTAAGTATTACGTATTAATTCAGTACTAGAGGTCCCGCAGTAGTCGAAATTCGACTATAATTAATTGGAATTGTAATTTGTACACTATTATGATTACAAGAATGTTAGAGAAAGTCTGAAAGTGGCACCTGTGACAGAGTAGTCGAGAAGTGCGCGTTTGGGATGGTGTGAACATGTGATGAGACAAAATGAAAATAAGATTGGTAAGAGAGTGCTAAGTATGAATCTGGAAGGATATAGAGGAAGAGATAGACCTAAGGAGAAATGGATGGATTACGTGAAAGATTATGATTATATTTTCAAAGAATATTATACTTCTATAATCACAAATTTCGCCAAGGCTACACTATAAAAAATATTAATAAAGACAAATAATATTTAATCTATTCTCAATTTGACCACAGACGTCAAGAACAAAAGTTTGACAATAAATAGTATGCATGCGTGTGTGCGTCAAATACACGGTATGTAGTGTGTGTAATGTTTTCTTTATTGATTTAATGTATCTTTAATGCATTATTTTAAAAAAATATTAGCATTGTGCACTTCTTCTCTATAAGTGTGGAAAATTTCATACTCCTCCGTCCGCGCAATTTTCGTAAAAAGGGATACAAAGTTTTTGCTACACGTATAATCAATTAAGTATTACGCAAATTATAATTTTACGGGTTTGAATTTTATTACACGATGTTATTCCTTCACCGTGGAAGTCAATCGTGAACATTTGTTAAATACGTATTTCATTAGAAAAATTGGTACCCGCCTGCGGGATTCGAGCACCGGTGCATCGCTCAACACGAATGCACAGGACGTCTTATCGCCACGACGACTTCAAATTTTTCTTTGGTACGCAATACAATATATATGCTAAGTACGACTAGACGTTTTGTAGAACCACAACGACTATTGTTGCCACATGTTAATGTGTTGTCATACTAGAAACAATTATGTGAAGAAGCACGGAAGACATCTTGTAGCTCATTACTCTTCATCATGAATTAATATATATTTATTGTCCTTGTAGGCAGACGAGCATACGCTACACCTAATGGTGAGCGGTTACCGTCGCCCATGGACTTCAGCAATGTCAAGCCGCTGCCTACCGTTAAATAAATATGCACTAGTACGTGGGTAGGTAAAGTAATTCTGTTACGTTTACAATCACAGAATAATATTATGTTTCCTTAATCGTCGATTACAATTATCACTCTTGACGATCTATTTTGAAACCACGGACGTTCTACAGGGCACGTGGTGCTCGCGGACCCTGCAAACAGATATTCTTAACGACGGCTGCTTTAAGTAAGTTGTCCACCATCAGTCCTAATGAAAGAGTAGCGTTTCTCCCCGCTGTCAAATCATTCGATGAGCAATTGAATGACAACCAGCGTTCTGTATTACGTCAGAGCAAAGCACTCGCCCGCTTCGCAGGGCATTTAAAATTAACATTATTATTTATTGTCATTATTATTAGGAAGTCCAACACTCATATAAATACTAGCCTATCCATTAAATACATGTATTTTCTATATGTATACCAAGTTTCAAGTCAATCGGATGCACGGCTCAGTAGTTATAACGGAACATCCGTAAAAACCACTACCGTATAGATTATGTTTATGATTGCACCAAGCACTAACGAATCCTTGAAGCCCCCACCATTCTTCCAAGAGTGTCCGACTAAGAAGAAGAAGGGTTTCTCATAGCCATGCGTTCCATTTTGAGGAGTTAAATAGTCTAGTTCAATTTGTTAAGTTTTGAAATTCATTTCCCCTTAACGTCAGTTACTTTAGTTAGATGTCATTACCTAAGATAGGTGGTTCTAGTAATCACTTACCACCGGTTAAACCATGAGTTCTTCTCTGATTACACAGCTAGACGCGACGTAGATTACAAAACTGGTTTTTGTCAATTAGCTTTCACAAGATTTCTTCAAAACTTTACTAAAACACAAAGTTTCATTACAGCATTTACTTTGTCACCTATTCAGTATTCTGTTAAGCTCTTAATCCTGAACGAGCTTTTGCGATGAGCTTATGAACGTTCACAGAATCTAATAGCATTAGATGTCTCGTCAAGCCTAAAAGCCGGGCTTTAAGCTGTAATTGTCGTTACGTACTCTAACATTAAACTCTCGCAGCTTTTCAATCTTACATTAACGTTAATCATATGGTATTTTATTTGTCATGTTAAAAGTGTGGTTGTCTATTATGACGTATCTAAAATTATTAATGAAACTACAGAACTTAAACGGCCGTCTGGTGTAGTGGTAAGTGACATGGTCACTACACAAGGGGGTCGCGGGTTCGAATCCCGCCAAGGGAAGATATTTGTATGATAAAATATATAAATGTCTTTTCCAGGGCTATGGATGTATATTAAATATATGTATGTGTATAATAAAAATCTTACATTTATATCCGTTATCTGGTACCTGTAACACAAGTTCTTTACGAACTTAGCACGGGACCAGTTAACGTGGCGTGATTGTTAGTAAATATTTATTTATTTTTTTATTTAGAAGACTGTGTCGTGTAAGCTTCAAAGCTAGAACAGTAAAAAAAATGTCGCGAAATCGACTTATGCAATCAATCAGTATTAATGTAATTAAATTTCGAACATGCTGTATAATATTCGGATCTGTGTGCGTATTGCGAGTTTTTTAACGTTCTCGATAGCGTAAAAGTTAACGCAAATTTGTTTGCAGTTAAAAAGTTTGCCTACGTTTGCCGCTAGAGGCGCTTTTACAACTGCATGCAAAATTGAGTTAACTTTTACGCTATCGAAAACGTCAAAAAACTCGCACTAAGCACACTGTTCGCCTCTGTTTGTTGTCTCGTAATTCTATACGTTGGAAATGTTGACCTAGTTTCTGGTGGTTGGCGTTGGTATTGGGGGAGGAGGTGTATCTGAAAAGCGTACGCCGGTAAATACATTCAAATAATACGCCTTGCCGTTGTGTGCGCGATCGATCATTCATTAAATATAATGCACAGGAGTTGCGTGATGTGTGTGATACTGTATTATTTCGTAATTTCATTACATTGAACGTTCCACCGGCTCAGCGTTGGCTTGAAATAATGTCACATGAATAAAAGATATGTATTATACCTATAGTTTGAGTAGTAATCGAGATGAATCGAATTTTTATTTTTATTTTTTTATTGCTTAGCTGGGTGGACGAGCTCACTGCCCACCTCGTGTTAAGTGGTTACTGGAGCCCACAGACATCTACAACGTAAATGCGCCACCCACCTTGAGATATAAGTTCTAAGGTCTCAATTACAATGGCTACCTCACCCTTCAAACCGAAACGCATTACTGCTTTACGGCAGAAATAGTTAGGGTGATGGTACCTACCCGTGCGGACTTACATGAGGTCCTACCATTAGTAATTACGCAAATTATAATTTTGCGGGTTTAATTTTTATTACACGATGTTATTCTTTCACCGTGGAAGTCAATCGTGAACATTCGTTAAGTATGTATTTCATTAGAAAAATTAATACCCGCCTGCGGGATTCGAACACCATTGCATCGCTACATACGAATGCACCGGACGTCTTATCCTTTGGGCCACTACGACTTAAAAGGAATGAGGAGATTCGCAAGAGAGCCCTGATCATAGCTCATAGGATTGCGAGGTTGAACTGGCAGTGGGCAGTACGTATTGCTCGTAATGCTGAGACCAAAAAGTTCTTGAGCCCACGAGATGGACTAAAATAAGTTGAAGGTCGAGGGAATCCAACTGATGCGGCATCGGAAGAACGGCCATTATAAGTAACTTTGACGGAAGCATGTGTTCTGGACGTCTGTTAGCTGCCAAAAAATGCTTAAAATTTCATTAATACGGCTTATTAGCATGCCAAAACTAAAAATTTTAAGTTTATTTTTCCGGCCATTGTGGTTAGAATATTAGGCCAATGAATTATGGTGTTGGTTATCAGTTTTAAAAGTATCTTGTAAACTAATGGGAGCTTGTTAAAATATGATATTTTTCATTAGTATATGTGTACAGAGTGTACAGGGAATCGTTTCAATGACCGATACATCATCATCATCAGCCTTTATCTGCCCACTGCTGGACATAGGCCTTCCCCAATGCCTTCCACATAATGCGGTCCTCCGCCTTCCGCATCCAACGACTTCCCGCCGTGCGCACTAAGTCGTCAGTCCACCTGGTTGGAGGACGCCCCACGCTCCTTGTACCCATCCGTGGCCTCCGTTCGAGGACTTTCCTCCCCCACCTGGCGTCGCTGGCTCGACAGATGTGACCGGCCCATTGCCACTTCAGCCTGCTAGCTTTGAGAGCTATGTCGTCGACTTTCGTTCTCCGTCGAATTTCTTCGTTCCGGATTTTGTCCCTTAGAGAAATACCTAGCATAGCTCTCTCCATCGCCCGCTGTGCGACTCTTAACTTATGGGCCAGCCCTGCCGTCAGTGTCCAGGTTTCCGCGCCGTAGGTCATAGCGGGGAGAATGCACTGGTTAAAGACTTTTGTCTTCAGGCATTGAGGAATTTGCGAGGTGAGNTGCGCTCTATCGCAGCTTCAATGCGTCTAGCATTAAAGCTACGGTAGTCACGCCTCACCATCCTCCGGACGTCCTTATTTAAGGTTGCGTACTCTGCTGTAGCTCTTGCGGATGGAGTGGCTTCTCGTCGTTTCCTCATTAATGCCAGAGTCTCAGGGGTTAGCTTGGCTTCACGAACTCTCCGCTGTGATCCAAAGTATCTTCCGCCAACTTCACGTAGTGTCGCCGCCATGTTCTCCACCACGTCGTTCACGTCCTCAGTGGGATCCAGCAGACTGAACCGATTTTGAAGTTCCAATTGGAACTTCTCGGAAACTTGGATGATTTGGGGAAGAGACGGGCGCAGAGTCGATCTCATCAACCGGGTTCTTTCAAGCCTTATGTCGATATTTAGGATTCCTCGAATAAGTCGGTGGTCACTGCCGGCACTAAACCTGTTGACCACTGAGACATCCGTAAATATTCGCTTCTTATCCGCCATGATGAAATCGATCTCGTTCCGTGGATGACCGATACGCACAAGAATAATTCCTTAACTAATTTTTCCTAAAAGTTTCTAGTTCTTAATTACATACCTTCTGTCTTATTACTGGTGGTAGGACCTCTTGTGAGTCCGCACGGGTAGGTACCACCATCCCGCCTATTTCTGCCGTGAAGCAGTAAAGCGTTTCGGTTTAAAGGGTGGGGCAACCGTTGTAACTATATTGAGATCTTAGAACTTATATCTCAAGGTGGGAGGCGCATTTACGTTGTAGATGTCTATGGGCTCCAGTAACCACTTAGCACCAGGTCGACTGTCGTCCAGCTCCTCCAGCCATCTAAGCAATAAAAAAAAAAAAAAAAAACAATTATTTTAGAGGCGAATCGTCTTGTAATTCCCTCCAGTTATTTTTAGTTACACAGCTACATTCTTATATTGTTAGGATTTATACCTTACGTATCGAGGTAGGTGGTGACATTTACAAAAAATAACAAGACTCTTTTAGTGTACTAGAACACGTCATTACGGATCCTCCCGATCCATTAACGGTGCTTTTAGGTACCTCAAGCACCGGTCACCGACCTCGCCGAACCTGTCGCTTGCGCTTTGCGCTAAAAAGATAAAAGAATTCGCGTCTCATCTATTTCTAAATTATACAGCCCGAAGATCGCAACACGGATAACCCAGCCCGAGATGCGTGTTATATTACACCAGTAGCTACATAAATACGGACTTCATTATTACAATACTAATTAACACATAATATCTAGACAAGTAATCAAAAAACTGCCGGAGCCAAAAATCACTCCAAGTCAATCTAACAGCGCCTTCGCACTCTTTTTTTTTTTTTTTATTTTTTTTTTTATTGCTTAGATGAGTGGACGAGCTCACAGCCCACCTGGTGTTAAGTGGTTACTGGAGCCCATAGACATCTACAACGTAAATGCGCCACCCACCTTGAGATATAAGTTCTAAGGTCTCAATTATAGTTACAACGGCTGCCCCACCCTTCAAACCGAAACGCATTACTGCTTCACGGCAGAAATAGGCAGGGNGACACAGCCCACTGAGTTTCTCGCCGGATCTTCTCAGTGGGTCGCGTTTCCGATCCGGTGGTAGATTCTGCGAAGCACGGCTCTTGCTAGGGTTCGTGTTAGCAACATCGTCAGGTTGAGCCCCGTGAGCTCACCTACTAAAGTTAGGGTTACGCTGACATAGCCTCTCAAGGCTATCAGCTTAGGTAGGAAAAAAAAAAAAAAAATGTAATTGTAAGTTTGTACACTATTATGATTGTATTTTATACTTCTTTAATCACAAATTTCGCTAAGACTACACTATAAAAAATATTAACAAAGACAAACCATATTCTATTCTCAGTTTGACAACAGACGTCAAGAACAAAAGTTTGACAATAAATAGTATGCATGCGTGTGTGCGTCAAATACATGGTATGTAATGTGTGTAATGTTTTCTTTATTGATTTAATGTATCTTTTATGCATTATTTAAAAAAAATATTAGCATTGTACACTTCTTCTCTATATTCTCTATAAGTGTGGAAAATTCCATACTCCTCCGTCCGCGCAATTTTCTTAAAAAGGGATACAAAGTTTTTGCTTCACGTATGATTAATTAAGTATTACGCAAATTATAATTTTACGGGTTTGAATTTTATTACACGATGTTATTCCTTCACCGTGGAAGTCTATCGTAAACATTTGTTGAGTACGTATTTCATTAGAAAAATTGGTACCCGCCTGCGGGATTCGAACACCGGTGCATCGCTCAACACGAATGCACCGGATGTCTTATCTCTTAGGCCACGATGACTTCAAATTTTTGTTTGGTACGCAATACAATATATATGCTAAGTACGACTAGACGTTTTGTAGAACCACAACGACTATTGTTGCCACATGTTAATGTGTTGTCATACTAGAAACAATTATGTGAAGAAGCACGGAAGACATCTTGTAGCTCATTACTCTTCATCATGAATTAATATATATTTATTGTCCTTGTAGGCAGACGAGCATACGCTACACCTAATGGTGAGCGGTTACCGTCGCCCATGGACTTCAGCAATGTCAAGCCGCTGCCTACCGTTAAATAAATATGCACTAGTACGTGCGTAGGTAAAGTAATTCTGTTACGTTTACAATCACAGAATAATATTATGTTTCCTTAATCGTCGATTACAATTATCACTCTTGACGATCTATCTTGAAACCACGGACGTTCTACAAGGTACGTGGTGCTCGCGGACCCTGCAAATAGATATTCTTAACGACGACTGCTTTAAGTAAGTTGTCCACCATCAGTCCTAATGAAAGAGTAGCGTTTCTTCCCGCTGTCAAATCATTCGATGAGCAATTGAATGACAACCAGCGTTCTGTATTACGTCAGAGCAAATATAAGTCACTCTAAGCACACGACACAATATTTTAATGGACGCGCCGTAATTATATAAAATACTAGTCGTACTCGCCCGCTTCGCTGGGCATTTAAAATTAACATTATTATTTATTGTCATTATTATTAGGGAGTCCAACACTCATATACATATTAGCCTATCCATTAAGTACATGTATTTTCTACATGGATACCAAGTTTCAAGTCAATGGGATGCATGGTTCAGTAGTTATAATAACGGCACCTCCGTAAAAACCACTGTAGATTTATATATTAGTATAGATTATGTTAATGATTGCATTAAACACTAACGAATGCTTGAAACCCCGACCACTGTTCCAAGAGTGTCCGACTAAGAAGAAGAAGGGTTTTCCACAGTCATGCGTTCCGTTTTGAAGAGTTAAATAGTCTAGTTCCTCCATCAGTAAGTATCTACAGTCGGCATCAATGCGCCCCTTCGACAAAGCGGCACGACACGAGGGCCCTCTCATCGTGGCCGCCGGTAACTACATTCCCGATCCTGCGGACAGAATGAGAAGCAGTTGACGTCGCCCAAAACACCTCATTTCGGATCCTTCCGATCCACTAACGGTGCTTTTAGGTACCTCAAGCACCGGTCATCGAACCCGACGAAGGGCTCGACGAGTAAATTAACCCACAGAAACCGCCCACTGAGTTTCTAGCCGGATCTTCTCAGTGGGTCCCGTTTCCGACCCGGTGGTAGATTCTGCGAAGCACAGCTCTTGCTAAGGTTCGTGTTAGGAACGTCGTCAGGTTTGAGCCCCGTGAGCTCACCTACTAGTTAGGGTTACGCTAAAATAGCCTCTCAGGGCTCTCAGCTTAGGTAGGAAAAATAAATAAATAAAAAATCTAGTTCGATTTCTTAAGTTTTGAAATTCACTTCCCCTTAACGTCAGTTACTTCAGTTATATGTCATTAAGACGAGTGGCTCTAGTAATCACTTACCACTAGTTAAATCATGAGTTCTCTGATTACACAGCTAGTCGCAACATAAATTACAAAACTCAATTTTCGTCAATTAGCTTTCTCAAGTTTTCTTCAAAACTTTACTAAAACACAAAGTTTCATTACAGCATTTACTTTGTCACCTATTCAGTATTCTGTTAAGCTCTTAATCCTGAACGAGCTTTTGCGATGAGCTTATGAACGTTCACAGAATCTAATAGCATTAGATGTCTCGTCAAGCCTAAAAGCCGGGCTTTAAGCTGTAATTGTCGTTACCTACTCGAACATTAAACTCTCGCAGCTTTTCAATCTTACATTAACGTTAATCATATAGTATTTTATTTGTCATTTTAAAAGTGTGGTTGTCTATTATGACGAATCTAAAATCATTAATGAAACTACAGAAGACTGTGTCCTATAAGCATTGAGCTATTATATGTAAACGGTATATATCTGATTATTAGATGTATATATTTTCTATAATAATGTATTGTCTATGGTACACCGCAACATACCTGCATTATTTTTATATTTTACAGAATTTCTGTAAATTAAACGGTTGTCTGGAAGAGATCGCTTTTAGCGATAAGACCGCCTATTGTACATACGTGCTTTTTGACTGTCTTTTTGAATGTAAATTGTGTTGGTCTGCAATAAAGTGTATTCTCTCTCTCTCTCTGTCTAGACCAGTAAAAAAAATGTCGCAAAATCGACTTATGCAATCAATCAGTATTAATGTAATTTAATTTCGAACACGCTGTATAATATTCGGATCTGTGTGCATATTGCGAGTTTTTTAACGTTCTCGATAGCGTAAAAGTTAACGCAAATTTGTTTTCAGTTGAAAAGTTTGCCTACGTTTGCCGCTAGAGGCGCTTTTACAACTGCACACAAAATTGAGTTAACTTTTACGCTATCGAGAACGTTAAAAAACTCGCACTAAGCAAACTGTTCGCCTGTGTCTCGTAATTCTATACGACACAACGAAAAATACGTCCACACTATTACGTTGGAAATGTTGACCTAGTTTCTGGTGGTTGGCGTTGGTATTGGGGGAGGAGGTGTATCTGAAAAGCGTACGCCGGTAAATACATTCAAATAATACGCCTTGCCGTTGTGTGCGCGATCGATCATTCATTAAATATAATGCACAGGAGTTGCGTGATGTGTGTGATACTACTGTATTATTTCGTAATTTCATTACTTTGAACGTTCCACCGGCTTAGTGTAGGCTTGAAATAATGTCACATGAATAAAAGATATGTATTATAGTTTGATTAGTAATCGAGATGAATCAAATTTTTATTTTTATTTTTTTATTGCTTAGCTGGGGGGACGAGATCACTGCCCACCTGATGTTAAGTGGTTTCTGGAGCCCATAGATATTTACAACGTAAATGCGCCATCCACCTTGAGATATAAGTTCTAAGGTCTCAAGTATAGTTACAACTGCTACCCCACCCATCAAACCGAAACGGATTACTGCTTTACGGCAGAAATAGTTAGGGCGGTGGTACCTACCCGTGCGGACTCACAAGAGGTACTACCACCGGTAATTATGCAAATTATAATTTTGCGGGTTTGATTTTTATTACACCATATTATTCTTTCAACGTGGAAGTC